AGCAACAAGGTTAGTGACTGTAGATCACGACACCATTTATTTTAATGAAAGGTTGGTCATTATTAGAATAACTTCCCAAAGCTTTAGTGCGTTATTCCTATATATATATATATATAATTAAAGCATCCTAGTGGCACAGCGGCAAGCCTACATGCTTACGACGCTAAAAATCAGGTTTCAGTACCTGTGGTGGGTAGAGCACAGATAGTCCATTGTGTAGCTTTGTGCTCAATAACAACCAATACAATATAATTTGAAAGCTCACATCGGTGTATAAACAAAAAGTTGATGTTTAGACAGAAACCCGCGATGACTTATAGTACTTTCCTTCAAAGGTTTTAATTTGAAAAGATACTTTATTACATTTCTTAATGCAGACGTTAGTTAGATCTGCTATTGTGACGCTCCATAGATTTAAACGTTTAATTTCAGAAATGACACATTTATGAAATGTCAATATTTGATACACACACACGATATGCAGAAAAAATACACACGCATGAAAGATGTTTTTTCTGAATGAGTCTTGCCGTCATGCATAGCTAAACGGAAGTATACAACATTTCCTTTGCTGTTTTTTCGAACCACATCACGGTGATAATCCCAAAATATTTCTGTAATTATTCTAGCTTCTGAATTACTACCATTGTTTTATTACTACAGAAACACATGTGGTAGAGATGTAAAAAGAAAAAAAGTTCAATAGTAGTGTTGAAGCCAACGAAAATAGTCTTAGAATAAATTAATATTCAGTTTGTGTTAAGTAAGACTCCAACCCCCAGAAAGAGAAATATCGTGTTTATTTTACAAATTCTTGATTTTTACTCACTTATTACAGCCTAAAAAGAAAACAAAAAACACACTGGGTACAATTATAGAGGGCTGAGCAGGTTATTTTAAAACGACTTATAATATTCAAATCAGTAATTCACATAACAACTGCTGATATAAAGTCGTCATGTAATGGTATTTATCAGAACTACATCTTGACATGCTTTCGTGTTACGTAAGTAACGTGATGCCACCGAAGATTAAACGCTTTTGGAAATAGTATGTAACAACCATTTCTGACCCAAAATATTTATATACTCAGATCATAAAGGTGCGTTTAGGAAGAGGATTTTAGAATGATATTAAAAACAAAAACAAAAGAATATGGACCAACTTGGGGTAAGCAAAGTTCGGCGTCTTGAAATAGGTGAGACCCTAATAACAAAGGTCAGCGGCAAAAACCCATCCACGTGCCCCAGGCAACATACTGAAGAAGGTGACGGTCGCCAACAGGGTAAGGATTCACTAAGATCGAGCATCCTATCATACATTCAATTCAACCATTGCATACCTCAAGCAGCTGGAGAATGAAGCAAATATTCTTGCTATTCCATACCGACTAAGTCGTCCTCGTATACTAGATGATTATGGAAAGCATCAGAGAAGGATGGTGCGGTTTGGACATGTCAGTCTTATGCTGGATGTTTTAGCAATGGAAACTATTATCAAGATGTACGGTTGTCAAAAAGAGCATGACCTGATGTGGTGACAGGGGCTGTAAAAACGTTAGTAAAGCTCCAAAACTGTTTTGATATAACGTACTCAACCATCATATATTCGAACAAAAGAAATATTCAATTTTGTTTTTCGCATAGCCAAAATTACTAAAATTCATATATACCAAATATAACATTTTTCTTTTCATTTTTACTTAAAATGTTTCATATTATAAAATACTTCAACTTTTTGTAATTACAAATTAATTTAGTGTTGCGTAATCTCTTTTCTAGTTATCTTTTTTTTTTCGTACGTAATTGAAACTATTCCTAATATAAATACAACACGTTCTATTACATGTACGATGATTAACATTGAGTGTTCTAAACTTGACATTTGGATCTGAGAAATATAATTATTATTTTGTTTCTTTATATTTTCTATTACCCAATAAATTAAATTGTAGAGGGCTTTTACTTTTTATTGGTAAATAAAAATAAAATGATATAAATTTGTTCTGTTAATCAAATCAAAAAGAACCTTTAGCGTTACTAAACTTAATGACAGAGAGATTTGATTACCTTTAGGTTTCTAGATCACCGTAATTAATTTTGGCAATTTTTCGTATGGAAGGGTAGAAAAACGAAACAAAGCAATCAGTACCTTTAGAATATTCAAGTAAGGGCTTATGAATATTTTACGAAATATCAGAAACAATGGGAAGATATGATCTTTTAATATCCTCCGGAAGAGGAAAATTTAGGATTAAGAAAATTCATGTGTACGTTGTAAGTCGGTCATGTAGGCGTAGTACAAAACTATGTAGGCCTAAAGTTTATCTCGCGACTGTAAACTACCTCATCCCGTCATTTCTGTAGTCTGACCTACTTTTTTTTGTCCCGTTTACAGGAAACATGGATACGAACTGGTTGTCTCTGATTTTAGGCTTGGTAAGTTCTATTTGTTTGTTTTTTGTATACACATGACGTGTTACTAAACTACCTACAAGGTTAGACTTAAACCGTTCCAATGTATGATCAGAATGTATCTGTACTATATATATATATATATATCTTTGGTATTAATTTTAGCGATTTTTTAAAATTGTGAACTAACTAAACCCTTTTGAAATATTTTAATACTGTTTATTACTTTGCTTGAAACACATTAGAAACAGTACAGTACACCATAATTTTTCATTTAAAGTGTTGTGTTTTAGTTAGTAACTACAACTTATAAGCCATCTTAGCGGCACGTACGTCATTATCGTTTTGTTATGAATTTTGGGGTTGTGATTTCATAAACTTACCACTGACTCACTGGGGGATATTTTTTGTTTGTTTTGAATTTCGCGCAAAGCTACACGAGGGCTATCTGCGTTAGCCTTCCCTAATTTAGCAGTGTAAGACTAGAGGGAAGGCACCCACCGCCAACTCTTGGGCTACTCTTTTACCCAACGAATAGTGGGATTGACCGTCACATTATAACGCCCCCCACGGCTGAAAGGGCGAGCATGTTCGGTGTGACGGGGATTCGAACCCGCAGATTGCGAGTCGAGCTCCCTAACCACCTGGCCATGCCGGGCCGGGGGACATTTTAAGTGGACAGGTGTTGAGAGTCTGTGAGGTTTGCTTTATAATTTTTAAATCTACCAACTGCCAAAATTGTTTAAATAAAATTACATCTAACCAATTTATTTAGTTTAAGCCTCAAATTATAGATTTATTTTTACACATTTTTCAGCCGATGGGTTACTCAAACAGCATCATGTTGACCAATTTTGTTTTTTTGCCTCTCAGAACACTTGATATAAAGAACTGAAATTACTGAATTTTTATGTAAAATGCATGGGGATTCCAAGCAGTAATTAGTGGGATTAACTGTAAATTGATTTTTGTTTAAAAGTTTTAATTGGTTTATATGTTATTTGGCGCAAGAATAGTTCAGAAAAGTGTGTTCAAAAGGCCAATAGTTACATAGATTCCATCGGTATTTCTATAATTAACTATATGGATAATACGCTTTAAAATCCGCATTTTATTGGCTGAGCCCAAACTAATATGTTTTACATATCACTTGTCTGATAATCTATTTTTGATTTATATTTACAAGTTTTTAGACTGTATAAGATATAAACCTACTGATGGTAATACTTTTTAAATGAACACGAACACAAAGAACTGAGATTTGTGACATACACGTGTTAAAATGACATATTCTAGAACAGTGGTTCTGAACCTGTGGTTCTAAGCCTATTTTGGGTAATAAACAAAATATTTCCACCATTTAAGATGACAACTCAACAATCCAAACGTAATTTCGCCTAAAAAAATAGGCTCGCCCACTAATTATTATTCTCGGCAGTGACGACATGACATCCCTCTCTCACGAAGTGGAACTAACACCCCCACGCTATTACATAATACTAATATTAATATTAAAATTTAGGATTGTTCAATTCAAAGTGTCATTTAAAATAATCAGTAAGCGTAAAAAAACAAAAACAAAAAAAAAACAGGTACTAAATCTCGCAAAATTTGTTGTGAACTCTGTGGTAGTAAGTAGTAGTATTACGAATAATAATAGTCCACAAATTATAGTTATGTTTGTTTGTAATTAAGCACAAAGCTACACAAAGGGCTATCTGTGCTCTGCCCACCACTGGTATCGAAACCCGGATTCTAGCATTGTAAGTCCTCAGACATACCGCTGTGCCACTGGGGGGGGGGAGAGCTTATAGTTATGTAAAATCAAAGAAAATACATTTGTGTGCATATCTTATTTTTTATTTGCGATTTGATACCAGTTTTGTGAAATGTATTATAAAATAAATTAGTTTTCGTAATAGACTGAATGTAATGAAAATTCTCCCACGAAATGTCTTACGCCTATGTACTTAATTCGATTAAGTGGGTAACCTCTCGACATATTCCACAAGTATAACTATTGATTGCATAATATTTACTGTATTTAATTCTATTCAACCCTCACGTGTATGAGGTGAACCTTTAGCATCCAATTAACCACTTGTTCAGAGTGTCATTTAAATATTGTCACTATACGTCAAGTCAAAATTATGTGCCGTGAACGTAATTTTAATAAACGCAAAATAAAATAAGCTATAATATAACATACCTACAATAAATAGAATACAAGGAGTAAGCTTATATGCATGTTAAGGTCAATATTATGTTCAGGACGTCACTATTTGGATAGATGTGTTAAATATGTTGTGTAAAAGTAAACGGTTGAAAAACGTTGTTTTATTGTATTATTTTTATCCCGTTTTAGCTGTTTTTTTAACTTTGATCCATCAAGTTTTTAATGTTTATTTATAAATTTAGCATTTCATATAATCTGTACTTTATGTTTGTTTGTGTTTTTTTTTATTAGTACACAAAGCTACACAAGGGCTATCATTGCTCCGCCCACCACGGGTATCGACAACAACGTTTTCTAGCGCAGACATACCGATGTGTCATTTGGGGGGGGGGGGCTGTACTTTATGTCAAAGAATTTTAAAGTATAAGAAATTATTTCGTGCTATATCTCTAAACACGTGCACATTTGTCACGTAAACACGTGTCATCTAAACGTGACACATAAACTCGTGACGCATTGAGATTTTGAAACATCAACGTATGCCACCTAAACGTGGTACATAAACAAGTGTTATCTAATTATATGCCACCCAAACGTGAAATTTAAACATTAGCGAAATTGGGTTGAAATCTATGACCGTGCACTGTAAGCTTTATGTTGTTGTAAGACAAATATAATTTATTGTAATGGTGAGTTACTTTCTACATCAAATTCATCACACTCACGGAAATGGCTAAATATAAAATATTGACCATTTTTTGGTGGTCTCTTTAGGTGTATGTTATTAAATAAATATAATTTATTACAAGGGTACTCAGAGGCGTCGCTAGGCGCTGGCACACGGAGCCCGTGCCCTGATTCTATTTGGCAGTGCCCCGAATTCCCAGTTGGTGTCTTGAAAAATCAGAATAGAAAACCACGATCGATATCATACTGAGAAACCGAATATTTTAAGCACCTAGCGGCGTCTCTATGGGTACTTATTGTTCACTCCTACTCTCCCTAAACGCTTGATAGAACTAAAAATATTTCGTTTTGAAAGCATTTGGATGTTATTTACGTAAGTACCCGATTTATTTCACATTTCATAATTACTTAAAACTAAAGATCTGTTGGCTTATATTTTTATATACGCATCCCGCTTTTTTAGACTCCTTGAAGAGTCGTCACAGTACAGAGAAAAATGGCACCCATAAAAATTTCATCCAACGAGTTCAATATATTGCCAAAACCCAGCTTCAAACAAGTAAAAAATTTTCCAACTTTTTGCAGTGAACCTCAATACAAGAGTTAGGTAGATGTTCAAATCTACAGTTTGCCCTTGCCATTCGCCGTAGACAGACTAGAAATTGCCGCGAAGGACAATTAGTAATGATGGTAGCGGCAGCAGAGGAAGCGGGCGGAGGACTCGGAGAGGTTACACGGGAGGGTCTGCACAGAAACACCGTGGTTGAAAAAAAGACTGAGAGCACGTGGGATGGTGTGGTGCGTAGCGCGAAAGCATGGGATGCGCAGTGCAAGCCTCGCATTAGTTTTCGGGGTGGAGTGCGGCCGTACCGCGAATGGCACCGGAGAATTGTAATTACTCTGCTTTCCTGTACTTATGACGTAAATGGTTGATGTTCATTCAGGCGTATCTGAAACTCAAAGAGATCACTTCCGATAAATCCTTCATGTAAGTCAGTAATAAGCGGAAAAAGTCATTAAACAATTAAGTCTATGATGAATGGAAAGGATAGAATTTACAACATCGTTCTCCACTCGTCTCCGGAACTACACCTCATTTTCATTCAAAATGGATATAAACCTCACTAATGAAGACAAAGAGAAAATCTGTTGTACTCGAGAAACTACATAGGAGCTGTAACACTGAATGTTGACCACACACACAAAAAAACTAACTTTTTTTTTTTTATAAAAAAAAGGGTCATAGCTTAAGTCAGCCCTTAATTATGTCTATGAACAAAGTTGTTGATGTTCACATTCAGGTAGAAGACACATTTTGAACAAGTCTTTCTTTACGTTTATTGTCAAGACAGCTAAATACATTACGACAAGAGAAGAGGACCGGGTATGGCCGAGGAATTACATTATCGGACAGTGAATCCGAGAATACATGGTTCACGTCCCGTCGCCGCAAAACCGCGGTCCATACTTTGGGGACTTGAGTACACTATAAGGCTGATGTTTAAATATCACTATTCGGTAAGACGAGGGTAGCTCGAGAGACAGCGATGGGTGTTTTTGACTATATATATGCATTCCCTCTGGTCTATCAGTTCCATATTAGGGACGTCTGTTCGCAGATAGCCATCGCGTAGCTTTGCGGGAAAATTATAAACACACAAATAAAGAAAACAAGTACAATATTTTACCGAATGTCCTAATATGCTTACCAGTAGCTCGCGGATATATAAACGATGGCTCGTTTTTGTACATGTTTGTCTGTTTCTTAGGCAACGATAAATAGCGTGAAAATATTTTGTCAGCATTCACACTACTCAATGTCTGTAAAGAACGTTCGCAAATATGCACACGCACAAACCACCCCATGTTTTTTAATGCTGTTTAGTAACTTCACAGCAAAGTAAGTGTTGTAAAAATCGTACTATTGTACCGTGCTTGATACTACATGTTCAACAAAAAGTTATGTCGGCATTCAGTACCACTTCTAAAATCATATGCTGATTCTTATTGGTCAAAATTTACTCTTGCTTTGAACTATATATTTTGTTTTCATTTGTTATTTAGCGAATCGTAAGTAAGGTCGTTGGTCAGTGCTAAAAATATCAAGGTCATTGGGTGCAATCAAATTCGAAACAAGCCGCGACGAACTCCCTTTTTTTACAGGTTTTTAAAGTTTTTTAGGTGTCTCATTCTTGCACAATACAGAAGCCGTATTTACTTGATATACCGATAGAGGGAAGGCATATGAAGATATTACTTTTATTTTAGATCTAATATATCCGAACATGAGAAATATGAAGTCACAATTGTTTTTTGTTTTTTGTAGAATAATAAATACCTTACGTAGATTCATAAAAAATGCCTAAACAGAAATAAATGTGTTATATTGATTGACGTTGTGTATGTTTATTTGTTTGTCCGCGAACCCTTCCCACAGTTTTGGAGTTAGCATGACCAAACTTGGCAGTTGGACTCGGTTTACCCGGAGAGTATTGATCTATGTGGCGTAGCCCCCGAAAGGTCATCCAGGCACGACTGGGGTACATGAGTAGGTTTTCAAGGTAGCTGAACCCTAATCAGGTATCAAATTTTGTGTTTTTGGCCCCTCTTCGAGATTCCAGGGTGGGTGCCTTTTTTGAAATTGTGTTTATACCCTATTCACAAGCTAGCGGGACCAAACATGGTACACGTGCTCAGGTACCACGAGAGGGTCATTTAACGGAGTTTGTTTTCGAGTACAAATCCCCCCCCCCTTGGGGTAACTATAGAAATAATAGGGAATAATGGAAGAGCTTGATCGGTACATTGGAGACTCTGTAAAGTCTGAGGGGGCCTTTGAAATTTGCAGCGAAGCGCTGGCATTTTACGCTAATATATTTGTTATATCAACTAATAGTGATATGAACTTCTGTAAGAAAATAACATCAAAAGAATATACAAAGCAGACTCTTCAAATGTGATTTGTAGTAGATATTATAGAATCTGTTACGTTCGGGCGTGGCCGAATGAGTAGCGTATCCAAAAACGCGCTTAGAATTTGGAAACATGTACCCACGCGTTATAAGAGTAACAGTCAAAACCCACTATTATGTCAGACAAAAGCCGCCCATGAGTTGACGGTGGGTGTGTGTTGACTGACTGTCTCCGTTCTAGTCTATCAGTTCAGAATTAAGAACAGCTTTGCGTAGACTCCTTTTCGAAAATATTTGCAAAAAAAAAGAAACATACAAACAAAGCAAAACTTTATGTAATTTATCAGTTGCGGTGCCATGTGTACCCCCTTCCCTTTCTTCCCTCCTCTTAACTTAACAATTTATTCCCAGTTGGTGGTACAGGTACCCTCAGAGGTACATAAATCTAAGAGGAAAAAAAATAATCCAATGAATTAAGTAATTGTAAAGGGAAACGGTTAATTTCACAACTCTGACAGCCTCTGTGATTGGTTCGCTCAAGGTCGCTTGTTAGCCAAGATTTGAGAAGCTCCCCCCACCTCTCCCGTTGCTATTACAACCAGCTTGTTATCTCTACAATGCATTATAGCGGTGATGGTTGCTGTGTGAAAATTAAATTTAGTGATGCAGATACAGCATTTATATACAAACGTACTTGTAGAGACGTTATAACTAATATCTGTATTAAACAAAAAAAAAAGATAGCTAAAAAAATTTCAATTTCGAATTTTTTTTCAAACGAACTATTTACCTTGAAATGAACACTTTCAAAAGCTAGAAATTTGTTATAAAAGAAACTATTAACTCTTTTTTTTTTTCACCGCAAGCTCAACCAATATGTATAAGAGCCTATATTTTCAGAAAACTCGGATTATATTTTAAAATGAAACTGGGCCACATAAAATTACTGAAGAGGTCCGTGTCATTTTGAAACTTCTTTTTTACCCTAACCATTTAAGAAATCAAATTGTTTGTAGGTTACAGGGCATCTATTCACGTGTGAACATTTAAACAAAATTATCTTCAATATTACAATTGATGACAACTGATGGTATCGTCTGTGTATCTTAGATGCGAAAAGTGCTTTCAACTGTCTTTTTTATGTCAGTTTTTTTTTTTTTTACAGTGAATGTTGTAACAGGCAAAAACATAAAATTACTCAATAAGGTTCAGTATCTGTGAACTCATCTACAGAGAGCGGCATAAAAAAAACAAGTCGATAATTTGAAAGTTAAAGGCAACATGATACACGTATTTATATATTTTTAAAACGCCTCCAGTCAAGCAAAACGGCCACGTAAATCACTTCAGATGCTCGTTGGGTCTTTAGGTTTAATGTCCTGAGCGCTAGGGGTGTTTATAATGAGCCGAATGTTATTGTTCCCGCCACATCATACGAAAACACGATTAATGTTTAGTTCTTGTAAGAAACCAGGAGCATGAGACATTGTCACCAGAGGCATTTTCTTATCTTGCTCACTAGGAATATGTCAAGCCTTCATTTAAACGAACAGTCCATCCAATATCAATTGTTTGTTTATTTTTACAGTTTATAATGTGTGGGTGTGAGTGTGTGTAGGCTATAATTGATAGAATTTTATTACGTTTGGGACGGAATTTCTAGGCTATAATTGATAAAATTTTATTACGTTTGTGACGGAATTTCTAGGCTATAATTGATAGAATTTTATTACGTTTGGGACGGAATTTCTAGGCTATAATTGATAGAATTTTGTGACGGAATTTCTAGGCTATAATTGATAGAATTTTATTACGTTTGTGACGGAATTTCTAGGCTATAATTGATAGAATTTTGTGATGTTTGTGAAGGAATTTCGTTTAATCAATTTGTGATCAGTTTAGCTTATTAAACGCGTTTTTTTCAGCTTGGTTAACCCATTGCTTATTATCTTATAAAAAAGCTCGCCACCATCTTTGAACTTAATAGTCAGAAAACTGCTACACGTACCCAGAACCCTTGGTCATTGGTCTATCTGAATGGAAGCTTCTCCGAATTTAGTATACATAAATATTTGGAATCCACTGTATTAATCGATAAAAAAACTATGTTATTTTGATGTTTTGAGCTCTTTTGTGTTTAGAACAATATATACTAATTTTTAAAGTATCAAATTAAATTTTTGTTTAATAAAAATCTTTCAAATGCGACTGTAGCTTTTTTTTCCCCAAACCTTTGTCTTCAAAAAAAGGGTGCGTCTTATATTCCGAAAAATACGGTAACTCCAGGATTTCTAATTTTCTCAGCACAAGGTCTCCTACAGCGTTCTGCATCCTGACTGAGGCTCCACCCAGTGAATTTATTAATAATGAGTCCTTCACAATTTCGTGTATTTGCTACGACCCTCTAACACTTTCTAGGGGGCCCCTGAGGGTTCTCAACCTCTAGAGTGGGAACCTCTGAACTAACTGAATGACCAACTGCAAGATGCAGCATATAGCTGTAGTATGTTTTATTTACATTTGTACTGTATTGTTTGATCAACAATGTTGAGTAGATAAAAAGAATAAAAATCACTTAATGTAAACAATTTAGAAAAGTGAATTAGTACTAATCACAGTATTTACACTGCACAATAAATATGACGTCATACATCAAGTATCACTGTTCGTTTAAGAAGCCAAATGTGGGATATCGGAGTTCGCCCAAACGCACAACTTGTACGTACTCTCTCTCTCTCTCTCTATCTATCTACAAAAAGAAAAAAACTCCACGGAGGGGTCAGGGTGTACTCTTCCAATAACATTAACTTTTCGCGGCTCAGTTATTTCTAATTACTGGGCGTATAACTGAAGAGAAAGGTAGGGGAGAGAGAGAGACGCGGATTGAATATAACAGTATATATAATTTACTGTGAGTCACCAAAATATAGCTTCGTTTAGTTGAATTTCAATAAATGACTTATTTTTTTTTTTTTTTGTAATTCTAAGAACCTGTGAGTGAAAGCAAAGAATAATATATAACAATATGCCAACCACGCCATATCTGGTATATCTAATGCCGACAAAGTCTTTACCCCAGTACCAGGGCTCGTCAGGCTGACTGAGACACACAGTAGTCGTTGTGAACCTATTTATATTATTCGTTTACTCGAACTTTACTGGAAATTGTTTTGAATGCCTCTTTCTAATACTTACTTATTATTTGGTAGATGGCGCTGATTATCGGGCCACGAGTTAGTCAAGGAAATTCGATTTCAGGTAAGCCCAATAAAATATGATTAAACTTGCCGTCAAAATATTAAAGTTACTCACAATAAGAACCTGAAAAGGAAAATACTACTATTGATTTATTCAAATAAAGAATTAGTGATTAAATATAATACATATATATATATATATTTGGTATATTGTTTTAGCAAAAATTTCAATAGGATGAAACTAAAATCCAAAAGAATTAATATTCTTAATTCATGAATTGTTTTCTCTCTCACATAAACAAAGCTCCCTTGGTGACATTATTGGTATTTGTAACAATAACGAGTAAATGGTATTATTTTCTCTCGTACAAAATTAATAGCACTTGAATACATTTATCATTGTACAAACTGAAGCATTTGCTAAAAAATAAAAAACTTTGTTTTTATTTATAAGTATATTATTTATCACGATATGTATAGTTATATCCAGTGTAATTTACTACTCAATAACTGGTGTTGATTAAGAGTAATATGAATATTTTTAGTGTTCATACATGATTGTTAGCCATAGTGCTTTTACTTATTTCATTTTTGTTTTTTATTCCACGTATATATAGACATTAGTTTCTGAAATACATGTGGGGTAATATAACCTAATGCAGAGAATATTTTCTGAACTTTACAGTAAAGACGTATATATATATATATTTCGTTTCTTCATATCATACTAACAGCTCCCATAATGCAGACATTTTTGTTTATCCTGTTGAGTATTACCAACAGTCGTTTTTAGGACTTTTTTTACTTTGATTTTACTATATTTCCATGATGTCTCTTTCTTCTCCTTTGATCTTGGATTTTTGCTCCTTTTCCTTCTTTAAAAGTCTTATATCTGAACAAGACCCTCAACTGTGCCTAACTCATTCGTCGTCTTAACAAAGGAGGTGTGTTTGATTTAGCCTGCACCTTCAGGTGATTAGGCCTATTTTGTCTCAGCCTTGGCCTGTTTTAGGAACCTTTGTTCTTCGTGTCATTCTTCTTCTTCTGCTGAATTACTTTGTTTTTCTTTGTCATTTAGATTTTCGTCTCTTTTGTCCTAAACCATTTTCTCTGCTCAGTCTTATGCTGATTTGTTCCCTATGCTGTTTATCGTATTATTCTTGATCATTTAGGGAGGAAATTATTTTATGACACAGCTGTTTTGTCCATTCGAATCCTGAATCAGCCAATATATATTTTTTCTTAGGCTTTTGTGTGACATTCTTTCATCTTAAGGCTTAATTTCCCCGGACAAAAAAGTTCTCACCATTAGAAATTCTCACCAGATCTTCAGTTATTGCTTTGTCCAGTTTGTCTTAATCATAAACTGCTTTTAAAATAATCTTACCAGACGCCCGCTCTAAGTGACCTTCTTATTAATCATATTTCTATGCGAACGCTTTCTTGTTTGGTGTTGATTTCCTCTCAAACCGCAAATAGATTGTCCTACCGGATGTTTCATCCCAAATTGACTTGGATTTATGGACTCCGATACCGATTTTGTCTGATAGCTACGATCTCGATGTAACTCCAGTTACCCTGGCCTCCCGGCTTCAAAATCCTCATGCTAAAATGTTTCCGCCCCTGTATGTCATTCATCACCGCCTCGTCACATTCCAAGCTAGTGGGCCTGTTTGTTCCTATTTTTAAGTTGACCTTTTCCTTGATAGTTAGATTGAACAACAGTCTACTGGTAGCATTTTCTACCCCTACATTTTTATCATTTCTTATTTCCCATCTGAAATGTTTTCACTTCTTTTGGATCGTCTGCTGCTGTTCCACTTCGTCATTGCCTCCTCTTCTACTTCGTTTTCGTTACGTTTTATCCTCTAGTTAGTTTTAGGTCGACATTTTTAATTATCTTCTGCACATTTCACCTTTCACATGCAGGGAAAAAAGGAATGCACTCATTCTTGACTCCCCTTTTTCACAACCCAAATACCTGTCAATAGGGGAGGGAAACCAAAGATGAAACACCCACCAATCAGGAAGTTACCCAGTTGATTAACACCGTGGTTTTTTAGGTTATATATATATATATATATAATATAATATAAAGTACTAAGAAAGTTAGTAAAATAAACAGGCAGAACGTTGTAAGTTGAACACACACTTATGCATGGGACATTATAAACGTACAGTTTGTATACTGTAGTAAAGTGTTTCACAAGCCAATTGTAGAAAACCAAAGTAGAAACTCCGAAATTTCGTAAAATTTTAACGATGTAAAATTATTGGAGTCTGAATATTTTGTGTATATAGAAAAAAAAATGTATTTGATATGTGACGCTTCCCGTCCAGTGTGTGATCAGTGGAAAGAAGTTTTACCTCGAACGAAAAGGACGGTCACGTCTAATTTGTCTAAGAACACGACCTTTAAAATTTTACTACATTCTATTATTTGGATAACTAAATATAATATTATTTCAACAGTTGTTTTGTTTGTCATTAAGCTTAAAGCTACACAAAGGGCTATCTGTGCTCTGCCCACCACGGGTATCGAAACCCGGTTTCTAGCGGTATAACTCCGCAGACATACCGCTGTGCCACTGGGGGACTTATTTGAACAGAAACGACCGATTCGTGGTTTAAAAATCCAAAAAGCATAGATTTTTGTTAGAAGTTCGATTTGATAGAAAACGTAGACAACGATGGTTTGATGGATAATAATATAACCTCTGGGTTATTTATTCTTTGTTCGCGTAGTGAGTGATATATTGACCGTCTAGTAGAAAATGCGCAGTTGATACTGGATTTAGCACATTGTTATATGCGTGTCCAAATAACTAATAGTTATATTACGCAGATGAGATACGTGGGTTCTTAAGTCTTGTCTAGTAAACCATTTTCTGGTGCTACTCAGAGTTAGAGATTTTTTCCTTTGTGTACGTTTAGGACTTTTGTTAATGGTATTTTTTATTTTTTTTACATGTTAAAAATTATTCTCTGTAGTGTGTAGACCATCAGTATTTTCGATATTCAAGACTTAGACTATTGTAACAATCCATTAAAGGTATACTACTCTGTTATATATTACATTTATTTTTCATTCTCTTTGCTGTTGTCTCACATCTTTTGCCAATAGGAGGCTTCCAAATATGGGCATCCTCTCCCACGTGTGACCTTTTCTGTACTAACACCAACAGCTGGCACTCAGAAGTGCCCACATTTTAACTAAGAGTATATGGAGGACAAACCGGCTGTCGCGGATTGGAGCTAACAACCGAAACGCCCACACTCAACTAAATGTCTTTTATTTTCAAGGTACCTTTATTTGGTTCATATCTTTTACCAGGAAATTTTGCTGGAGTCTCTTCAGACCTTACTCTGTGATATAACTGGTTTTTCTTTTTTTTTTTTTAATTCAGAGAGTTGAATGAAATATAAGATTGGAGACAAATGTCAACAGATAGGTCGTTAACGAAAACAGTTGATCTTATTTTGGTCCCCGGATTGGTTTTTGTGGGATACAGCAAAGAGATTGATTATCTTGGTCTAGTCGCTGTGAGCGTCAGATGCTTTTGACTGGAATCTGTAACTTGATCATATGTAGAAACACCTTTTAGTTGATTTATACTACCACCAGGGGCAGGTATTCAAGGTTGCCAGGTCGTACAGCAGTAACGAGAACAATAACAAAACTTTTAGTAAAAGATATGAGATTTGACACTTTCGTGAACCTATTTTCTGTTTGTAAGTCAGTCATTTCGTGAAATAGCAGGAGTTGATATACTAAAAGTCAATATGTGTTAGTGTCAAGTGAATATCGTAAGTTCGTAATTTCACGAAAAGGGTTCATGTTCATAAAAATTTCTTGTGGAAAAAAACCCCATAAAAAAACAGCATACATCCAAGATATTGGTATGACACGAAACTAACTATACCTATATAATCAGCATATATAAAACATGATTTTGGTCTTTGCCCCAGTACAAGGAGCTTGTAGTAATGTTCACAACACTGTCATGGTACAAAATGAAAAGGCGAAAAATTCCCTTTCTCATCGTTTTTAGTCTGCGGGTCGCGGGTTCGAATCCCAGTCCCACCAAACATGCTCGCCCTTTCAGCCGTGGGGGCGTTATAATGTGACGGTCAATCCCACTAATTGTTGGTAAAAGAGTAGCACAAGAGTTGACGGTGGGTGGTGATGACTAGCTGCCTTCCCTCTAGTCTTACACTGCTAAATTAGGGACGGCTAGCGCAGATAGCCCTCGTGTAGCTTTGCGCGAAATTCAAAACAAACATCGTTTTTAGACATGAATATTGTTGGAATCATATTTTTAATCTTTTAAACAATCATTCAACAAATCTTCCTTACGTTAAATACTTCTTGTTCAACTTTTGGTCATTTTTATCACTTGCGACGCTAGAAACCGGGTTTCGATACCCGTGGTGGGCAAAGCACAGATAACTCATCGTGCAGCTTCGTGCTTAACAAACAAAGAATAATTTTTAGATGAGGGCCAGGCATGGGTTGTGTGTTTAGGCTGTAAGTCTGAGAACTGATAGCTTGCGGCTTGTTGCCATAAAAACACGCTCCGCACTTTGGCGCTGTGGGTACTCTACAAGAGGGACGATAAAATCCCACTTTTCGGTCAGATGAAAATATCTCAAGAGTTGACGGTGAGTGTTATTAATTAGCTGTCTTCTCTCCAGTCTATCAGTTCAAAGTTAGGGACAGCTATGCATAAATCGCCCTATCGGTAGCTTTGCACGAAAATCTGAAAGGAACAAACTTTTATATGTTCTTGAGAAAAAATAACAATAGTTCCCTAGCTCTTAGTAATCGCATAAGAACTTGTTTGTTTGTTTTGAATTTCGC